ACCTTGCTTTTTTCATTAAGGATTGAAGTGCCATATTTTGCAAAAATTGCATAATTTACTTCAAAGAATCTATTACAAACTATAATACAATGAAATAAATATAAAATTAAATTTAAATAAGTATAATATATTTAACAAAAAAAAAATCTAACCATGCTGTTCAATTTTAGATGCCTGACTATTATTATCAACTATAATTGTGGCTAAGTTATTAAGTTTTTTATCTTTGGTTAAATCAATAATCATTAGTATATTATTATCAATTGTAACTGCGGCTAGATTATTGAGTTCTTTATCCATTAAATCAATAACTGTTGAAGAGTTATTATTACTAAAAAATGTTGTTAAAAAAGTGGTATGTATCTTTTTTGACTCAGTTTTTTGAGAATTTTTAAGATGTATCAAAGTAATAATATGTTCCTTTAGTCTAGTTCCATCATTAAAATGGTGTAAAGTTATTAAGTTTTGGCAACTATGACAATAAACGTGCTTATTGTTATTATATAAAATATATGATTTATCTTCTAAAATCTTTTTTAATAAAGATTGTCCTGATAAACCATCAAGTTGCTGAAGAATTTCTGCTGTATTTAATTTCGTATTTTCATTTCAAGTTCTTTTAGCTGAATTTGGATTTAAATGATAAGTTCTATTTTTTTGAATGATATTACTTGTTATTCCAAAATAATCAAGCCATTTTTGTTGTAAAGTACTTGGATTTTCATCTTGTTTATTAGAATTTATCATTACTATCATTTTATTTTTTGAAAATTTTTTCAAAAAAATTTTTTTATATTATTATATATAGATATTTTAATATCTTTGTATACCAAACTCCTTAAACAATTCTGTACATAAAGGTAAATATTTATTGCAAATCTGTACATCATAGTAAAATTTATTATAGTTCTGTACGTTGAGATAAAAACTAGTTTACTAAATTCTGTACTTCAAACATTTGGCCAAATTTTTATATCCGTACATTAATAACTGTTGAACTTTCTCTTAAAATCTATACTTCTGAACAATGAGGTTCTAATCAATATATTCAGAAGCTCTACCCCAATACATACTTTATGGACTAATACCTGATTATCTTTCACTAACAGTGCCCCAAACTCCCAATTCAGATAGCCCAGAGAGAGACCAGTAGACGTCCTCTTGGTATTCTAACTGAATCTTTTTTTCTCATCTATACAGGGCCACCCCTGTATATACGTGACCTGGTTAGTATTAGTGTCTTGCCAAACACCTAGTTTTCGTCTGGTTTACTATTGGTGTCTGATTACCAATAATCGCCCTTTATGTAATACTGTTAAAAATCTGTGCTACCTCTTTACTTAAAACTTGCCAAGCAGAATTTTGTGTGCTTCAGCTCTTGGATTTATACAAACGTTTTACTCAGGTTTTGTATAACTCTTGTATCACATTATAGTTCCACATTCTTCCAGTACTAGCTGATATAACTAAAGCTACAGATTCGATAATCTATCAGATTATACATAGTCTGCTATAACACATTCCTTAAATTTGAATTTTGTCGCTAGTAAGATTTAAACTCTTGTCTTGCCGCTTGGGGGTATGACAACTTACCAACTATACTAAGTTGCCACACCTTTATTTTAGTTATATAAAATTCAGCAATCTGATTGGTTAATATATAATTAGGTATTATCTGACAAACATATATAATTATAGTATAGTAATATAATTTTATATGTTATTACATATTGGTAAATAATATTTTAAATTTTAATTAAAATTTTATCAAAATTTAAAATATTTTCTATATTTAACTTATACAATACTTGTTTAGAAGAGAGGTTAATGAATTGCACAAATAAGTTCTTATCTAGATTGAAAATATAGATACTTGTTTAGAAAAGTAATTATTTAACTGAAGTTAAAATAGTGAGAAAAGTGATGAATATGTGAACAGATTATAATAAAAGATTGATCTTATCAGAATCAAAATCATCTCTAACAGTGCAAATAAAAATACTGTATTATAAAAGACAAAGAATATAAAGATTGTTTGTTGTTTTGAGTATATATAAAGATATCAAATTAGGCTCTAATTATATCTATATAGAAGTTTATAATAAATAAGTTTAGGATTTACTAACTTTTAGAGTTTACAATACAAATAGTAGTATAGTATCATTAGGATTGATATAATTCTCTAATTATAATCAAAATTGTCTTGATTTTATATTATAATATACCAAAAAAGCAAGTATTACATAATAGTATAGTACCATTAAAGTTAGTGTAACTTTTTAAATATAATCATAATTGTTCTATATATTTATAAAATATATTATTATTTTTTTTAAGTTTTATAATTAGCCTCTTTGGGCTATAGTTTTTATTCAAGTATATAGGCAAGAGATTTCTGTAGAATTTCTATATTAGAGAGTATAGTTAGCTATACATACAATTTTTGATTGCCTATTTAAGTAGTCTGCAAATCAGTATTGCATTATAAGTTCTACACTATCTGTCATATCTACAACCTGATTAAAGAGTTGTTTATTTAAACTCTCTGTAATATAATCTGACTTGTATTATCAATACATTTCTATTACAATTGTTAGTTAAGAAGTTCTAGATATTTTCTTTAAAACCCTTAAAACTAATTTATCTTTGAGACATTATTATTTAGAGCTTTTTATATCTACAATCTGGCTAATCTAAACTTCAGTAACTTATACTAAGTTCAAGAACAAGTACTTGTGAGCTGAAGCTACTACTATTATTTACTTCTGCACTTGTAGAGTTTAACTGAACTCAGCACCTACTTTACAGACTATTACTGACATTCCTGGTCACTACAATACTTCAAACTTCCAATTCAGATAGTATAAAAGAAACTTGTGTTTTCTGATATTTTGATTAAATTCTTTTTTCTTGTATACATGTGGTCTGATTAATGGGTTGCCTTGCCAAACATTTAGTCCTTGTTTAGTTCACTGCTAGTGTCCAATTGCTAATAATAATCTTTTATATAAGATCATCAAAGATTCTTGCTACCTCTCTACTTGGAACTTGCCAAGTAGGTTTCTGTATATCACAAGCCTTTGGATTTATATGATTATGTCACTCAGATTTTGTATAACTCATACATCACACTACTGTTTTACAGCTTTTTAATACAAGCTAGTATAACCAAAGTTACAAGTGCTAACCTGTCTATACATGCCACCAAAATAAGTTTTCAAAAAACTCCTATTTTGTCTCCATTAAAGCAATTTAGAATTTTTTATATGCAATAGCAAATCTAATTTAGATAGTTATGTTCTTTATAATTTCATCTCTTCAAAAAAAGTGTCAAAAAATTTTATCTTTTGTATAAAATAGATCAAAAACAGTTTTATCTTCAAATTTTAATTTCATACTCTGAAATCTAAAATAATTTCATCGGTATGTATAAACTCTGTCAGATTATATACAGTCTGCTATAACATCTATAAAATATTAAGGAGCTATGGTGTGATAAAATATAGGAGATAAACAAGTAGTTTGATTAGCTCGCGTATCATATATAAGATGTTGATTAACAATATAGTAATTAAGATACGTATATATATGCATTTTATGTCAATCTTTGCTTATTGTAGGCAATTCAAGTGTAATATAAAACTATATCGCTGTACCTTTACTTATCATCACAAAAATTTATCACTATTAGAATAGCAATTATATTCAGGCAAAATAACATCTAATGCAAGCATTAATCTGAAGCACAACATATTATATATATCATTCTGAATAATTAAATTATAGTATTTATTGTTGCTATATCAAATACTAATAAGCGAGTTTTTAAAATATTTAAATTATTATATAACTCGAAAAGCTCATATATTTTACACAACCTACATGTCAGAGGCATGAGTTATATACTAGTATTAATTAAAATATTAATTTTTTTTTTTTTTATAGGCAAGGTTAGCCTCTTCGGCTTATCACTTTTATTAGATATTAGGATCATGTGGTGCCTTTATCAAAGGGGTCCCAGCCAAGTATATTCTGACGAGGATACATTCTAGCCATATCTGCACCTTTTGGGTGCCTAATTAAGTTTACTACCTATGTGCTAGATGCTACACTAGATGCTGTACTTATAACCCACTATTACTTGAACTACCTAATTAAATCCTTTGATCTGAGTTTCCTATGTCAATCCATCTAACCTCACCCAGAACATGCAATACATAAGTCAGTTCAAGTTCCAAAATCGTCATGTCTACCTATAGGACTACTAGCATGGTTAACTGATTTATTCTCGAGTGCGTCACCTGCTAGAGCAGTTATCTACTATTCCCATATTACCTAGTCTTCTTCAATAACTTATGCTGAGTCCGAAGACAAGTACTTGCGAGCCGAGGCCGCTACAGTTATCTACTACTGCCCTTATAGAGTTCATCCAAACCCCGGTATATCTACAGACTTTTCCCAGTCATTTTAGCTATTCCAAACTACCAATCCAGATGGCCCAGAAGGGTTATGACCTGCACTTGGTCCCACGATTGGGTTCTTTTCCTCCATTTACTCCTTCGGCAGCCTGGTTGGTGGAATGCCTTGCCATATACTTTGGTTCTGTTTAGTTTATCCAGTTCCCTAGGTAGTAATCTGTATATAGTACTATCGAAGATCTGTACTACTTCTCTACTCAGGACTTCCCAAGCAAGCGCCCTACCGCCATATTGGCTCTGTGGCTTTCTGCAATTCCGAAGGACTTATCTTGGGTTTGTACTGACTAAACCAACTTGTATGCTTTTGTGTAACTCCTTTATTACACAAATGCCTCAGAACCTTCCAATTTTTATCTTGGTACGACCACAGTTATAGGGTCTCGAGTTTTCCCAGCCACAACAATAGTTGCCGAATCCATTTTTCTAAATTCAATTTTTTGCCTTCCATGGAAATTGAACTTATACTCTACCACTTGAGGGTGCGACAACTTCACCACTTCACTAAGTTGCCACACCCTTATTAAAATATTAATTATAATATAGATACAATAAAATAACTATATAACATATGTAAGTTTAATAGTTTATTAAAAGTGGTAACCTATACTATATTTGATCTCTGTAGGATTTGCTCCTGGTCTTCACAGTTGGATTTTTTTCCTCCGGTTACTCATCTGGCAGTCTGGTTGGTATAGTGTCTTGCCAAACACTAGTCCTTGTCCAAATAACTGAAATCAGTATTCAGATTTCCTAGATAATCTTTTATATAGTATTGTCAAAAATCTGTACCACTTCTCTACTTGAAACTTGTCAAGCAGGCTT